TCTACTTAAACAAAATCATATTGAAGCATATCTTCAGTGAGCTTTAAGGCATAACCAAGATGATTGGTCTCATACAATTTTTTCAGATGAAAGCACTTTTTAAAAAATTTAGTAATACTCTATTAGTATATTATAAAGCTAGTAGTATATGTCCATCATGTTTTATAGTAAAACATCTATACAAAATGCATGTTTGGGATGCATTTTCTCATCAAGGATTGATTAGAATTGAATTATTTACAGAAATATAAATCTGAAAAATATTGTGAAATTCTTCAATCCCAACTTATTCTTAATACTCACAGTACTGATTATGGGTAGTGCTTCTAACAAAATAATGCACCAATCCATACAGTAAGGTGCATTCAATAATTTTTTACAACAAATAATATTCTGGTGATCGATTAGCCTGCAAACTCCTCTGATTTGAATCCAATTGAGAATTTATAGGCTATTCTTAAATGAAAAGTAGAGGAAAAAATTAATAATTGGATTAGAAAAAAAAAGTGCTTAGTGCAATTGCTTTTCAAAGTATAATTCAGTAAGAATAGGACAGTATTGATTAAAATATTTTCTTTAATTTAGTAGATAGTATGTCAGGTTAGATTAATGAAGTTATAAAAAAAAGGGCTTACAATTAATTATTAATTTTTTTTATTTTGTTAATTTGTATATTATAATTTACGAATAGTATAAATATGAAACTAATAAAATAAGATTTACAATATTTTTATTTATTGTAATAAATTCTGAATATTTATGTCGTAGACTGTATGCTAAATTTTAATTAATATTTGATAAGATTATAGTACTATGTATGCTTTCAAGTAAAATGTGAACTTTATATATTTACCTTATTAGTATTTAAATAATTATTGCCAATTGCCTAACATTAAGCCATTAGTCCAACCAGCAGTAATCTGTTAATGCAGATGAAAGACTATTCTCAAATTCAAATTTACTCTTGATGTAGAAAAAAAAGGGATGATCACCAGGTTGAGACTCTTGGCAACTCATCTAAATATGAAAATAGACCCTTAATATTAGTAAGAGAGAAATACCTCATATAAAAAAAAACTCAAAACAGCAAAAACAAACAGCTCAACAAATATATCTGATGTATATTTTCAAATTCTTTTTTACTTTATACGTATCCCTTTTATTTATGTTAACATTTGAAAATGAAAAAAATAAGATAAAGAATAAACTATTTAAGAAGTATAAATATAAACAAAACAGATCAAATTGTCTTTTGAATAATGATGTCATAGATTAAAAGTGTTAGAATAATAAATTGAATAGTTTTCCAGCTATAAAAGAACTTAGTGTAATAAAAAAAAATGCGATTTATTGTACAATCAAATTATTTATCAAAGCTAGTAATTAAACATATTTTATTTTATTTTTTAATGCAAAAATAAATTTTAAATTTTGTTCAATTACACATAATACACAAAATGCATGTTTAAAACCTAAACATATTCAAATGTAGCATTATATGATGACAGTCCATTATTGAGCCTAGATTATCTTTTATCTAAAATTAAGCATATTTTGATATAATATATAATATCATATCAAACTCATCAAAACATTGTACTGCAATAGTCGAAGCTATATACTGTAAATCATTGAAGTCAAAAATATATGGGAGGACTTGGAAATTTCTGAAACAACTTGGAAGGTTGTAAATAATCATATATTAAAAATCATGAAATGAGTTACCCCATTAAGGTTTCTAAGTTAAATTGTTCTTACTATATATACATACAGTTTAAAGAAAGCGTTGAATAATCCATTAGCTCTATTAAATTCTATTAATCAAATGATTATCTATAAATTCAGTGATAACAATATAAATTTTGTTTGTTTGACATTTTGATAAGATCTATTGAATGGTTATCAAGGGTTTATAAAAATAAAAGTATAGAAGCACAATCCTGTTAAAAGTCTGAAAACTTTTAAATAGAACAGAAAATTTTTATTTTTTCATTAGTTGACCATTAAGATTTAGAATAAAATGGATTTTTGGCTATTTCTCATGATGATTATTATTTCCTCTGGTTAAAGTTATTATTACCTCTACTCAGTTAATCAACATTTATTTATTTATTTGAACTATTGTAAATTTGTCAATTTTGACATTAAAATGTAAAATAATATTGCATTTTCATGTATAGAGGGTTATCAAAAGTTTCTGAACGATTTTTTATACAATATAAAACATTTAATTTTAAAACTCAATAAAAATTCTATATTATAACTTTATTTATGAGTATTAAAGGCTACATTTCATACTATTAACTAGTATTTAATTAAGCCATCTTCTGCCCTATTACTGTCTAAATTCGTGTTGATATACTATCAACTAAATTTTTAATTACACATTTTGAAATCAATTCTATGCATTTTTAACATCCCTTTCAAGATCAGCAAGGATGGGTAGAATCAGTTTCAGCATGCCTTTTCAATGTGTCATATACTGTTGATTTGCTACATTCTACAGTTTCTGCAATTTTACTATATGAATCACCATTTTTACGACAAAAAATTATTGCATCACATTGCTTCGCAGTTAATTCATTATTTTTTTCTCATTGTTGTAATTATATCTGTAAGTTGCAAAAAAAAGTGAAAAGGGAAATTTGAAGTTAAAATATTATTTAAAGTAAAATAAACAAATAAACAAACATAAATGTATGTAAATATTACCTTTTATATATATTAATCGCATTTCAAAAATAGCATTCAGAAACTTTGATAACCTTCTGTAATTTTTATATTTAATAAAATACTTTCTCTAAATTCCAAATCTCTTGTTTGTGGTAGCCTCTACAAAGTTTTTTAATTTAGCGCTCAAAGGATGTAAAAAAATAGGAAATAAAAATAAATAAAAGATATATAGTAAGCATGCTTTACGCTATTAGATCATAATGTATTTCATCAATTTAAAATTTATTTTTACTTCTTGCTATTGAGAAAAAAAACTTGAACATTAATAGATATTAATTCTTGAAAAATTCAAAAAAATAATTAACACGTTGTACTACAGTTTAAAATTAAGTAACAAAGTATAAATACCATTAATAAATAAAACAATAATTCAAAAACCTCCTCTTTATTTTAAATCAGATGCTATATAACTGCTTAAGAATTACATAATAATATAAAGTTACCAACTGCATAGAATATTAAATATTATAGTAATTTAAAAGTAAGTTCAGACAGGCTTAGTATAAAGCAAATAGGTGAGTTTAATATACTTCATATTATATAACATAGTTTATAAAATTATATGAATAAAACATTCTCGTAAAATTTTACAGATTCAAATACATTTTGGACAAATTATTCTATATCTCAACAATGTGAATTATTTTATTTTGAAGTTGACATTATCAATAAAGGAAAATATAGGTGTGTAAAAATTTTTGAACCTTATTTATTTTTTTTTATTAATGACTTTAATTTGATTCTATATATTTAAAGGGCAATTATAATCAGATTTTGCATAAAAAAAGCAGTCATATATAAGTCATCTGATAATTGTTTACTTTTTTTTAACAATCTGCAATGAAATATTCATTATTACACTGGTATTATAGGCGTGCAAGATAGCTCGTGGGGTTATCGTGGTGATGATGGAAAGGTATATTACGCAAATATTGGCAAATCATATGGACCAGGATTTAAGACTGGGGATACTATTGGATGTTGTTTAAACTTTAGAAACAATAAGGTATTCTATACCATAAATGGTGTGAATCTAGGTAGTTATTATCTTAGTACAAACGTCTAATGATCTTAAAATCAATAGAAATTTAATATTAAATTACATATTTAAAGGTATTGCATTCCGCTATTTGAAAAGTTCTTTATATCCTTGTGTTAAAATAGAATCGCAAGATGGAGAAATAAAAGTAAACTTTGGCCATAAAAAGTTCAAATATACAGGTATTATTTAATATTAATATTGTCTTTTCTTTATTTGTCTTATTATAACATTAACTATTTTATGAAAGCAATGAATGATGAGGATATTAAAAGATTTTTAAAGGATAAATGAGCTGATATCCTTAATCTATTCAATAAGAATTAATAAGTTAATAGATTGAAAGATTGTCAAACATTAAAGTCATTAGAAAACAAATACAATGTAATATATATACTAAACTATTGAGCAAAATTTTATTTAATTATAGGTGAATACAAGAAGGTATTTGCAGATTGTATAAAGTTATTAGAATTTGAGTCAAATAATGCATTTGCATTAAAATATCAAGGAGAAATATATAATTTGATGGGTAGACGCAAAGAATCACTTGCAGATTTAATTAAATTATTAGAAATCAATGCAAATGATACATGGATGTTAAAAGTAATTGCTAGATAAATAGTATTTATACCTATTAATTTAACTGATAATTTATAATTAAATAATTTACATACATTTATATTAGAAAGTGAGTATAAGTTTATATATGTTCTTTAAGATTAAGATTTGAAATTAAATTAATTTTATATTTATTAGTCAAATTATTAATGATATAAATGGTAAAGGATATTTCTATTTTAATAATGATAAAGAAAATATAACAAGTCTTATTTTAAAATAAATATTTATGTCGATTAAACTATAGATTGTAAGTTATTTAATAATTATAATTGAAATTTTTAAACGCTTTATTAATAAATAATAATATAATATTATCATAGGGAATAAGCTATTATTTTGATTTATTATACTTTTTTAATAATTAAGCTTAACTAATTTTTACTAAAAATATTAATGATGAATTAATAATATAGTTTGTATGTTATTTTTTTTGATGATTATATACATTATTATTGATTAATTAATAAAATTATTTTAAAATTATTTATTTATTAACAATATTATAATGGGTTAATTAATTTTATAGTTATTATTAAAGATCTGAATCGTTTAATCCGTAGTCAAATTATCCGGATATGACTAACTGATTACGATGATCGATTAGACGAAAATATTGACTAATTATTTGTTCATTTAATCAATTATCACCAACTACGAATGGATAACTGGATAATCGGATATTCAAATATTTGGATCCATTGTTTAATAAGCATGTATCATCATACATGTGTACATGCAACATCTAAATTAATTAAATAACACATGAAAGATATTTTAATTTTAAAATTATTTTTTCATATTTTTTTATACAAATTTTGTTTTATAAAATGGATTCTAATGAATATTATGACGCAAATTTCAATGATAATGTTTCTTTAGAACAAAAAACAATTTTAAGTAATTCTGAAAGATTAAGTAATGTATCTAGAACTTCATTTGACAAAATGTTAATACCGATGTAGATACACATATTGCAAAAAGACTACGATATAAAGGGTCTGGTGGATCAGCTAAGCGAAGTTTTGTATGGAAATTCTTTGATGAAAAAGAT